AAAAAAAAAAAAAAAAAAAAAAAAATTGAATAAATTCAAAGTGGTATTCAATTTTTTAAACATATATGTGTATAAAACAAAAATCCACGACTGTCTCAATTTAAATTCAAATTTTAATTTTAATCATGTCTTTAACATTACGCAAAGAGCCCTAAATAGTAACGTATGTTCCAAAAACGTACGGTAACGTATGTTCCGGGTCATTTAATTTTAATTTTTATACCAGGTTCCAACATATTTTGTAGTGGTTCAGTCATGGTAAATTAGACACGATGTAAGGACAATTTATTGCGTTTGACAATTTATGTTCCCTAGAAAAATTGTCAAAATATTTCATTTTGTTTAGTATTTGGTGCAAGAGAAAACAATGTTTTCCTTTGCTGACCGAAAAATATATTGTGATTCCACGATAGTTTGACATTTCTGATATATATAATATTTGGAGCACGAGGGGAAAAGTAATTTATTTAATGCTTATTTTACTGTCGGTAGGGTGTATTTTCTCCCTTTTTTTTAAATATTCAGTAACATGCAAACTTAAGTTGCTCAAAGACAATTAATTGCTCTATACAGAAGATTATTATAATTTTTTACATCGTTATACTTTTAGAAGTTAAATCAAATAACGAAAACCAGTGATTATTGAATTTTCAGTGAGTAAAACGTTTCATACTTGAACGTTTTGCATATGTGACAGTAACGCATGTTCCTTTTTGGGGGACAGAAGTTGAATTATTTTGTATTATTCATGGTTCCAGGAGAGTGAAACTTTGATACAAACTTCTTCACGTGGGACCCTAAAATAACCAGACATAGTTTGCAATTTGTGCACTAAATATTTTTAAGAGCATACCTGTGACATCAATTGCACCTTGGGTTTTGGTGTAAAGTGAAATTGACCGCATAGAAATGAAAGGAGAAACTGTTTGACAGTGTCTTGTAAAGTCATGAAAAAAGTTTAACAAACATATACTAGTATTAAAAATGTAGGGCCCTAAGGCCTACTTTAGAATTATGCAAGCAGTCGAATGAGTGAGTAGCTTTTAATTTCAGGGTAATAACAGTTGAATCCATTTCATTCGTCTTTTACAGTTTATGTATATTAGCTTATCAAATATCTATTAATATATAATCTTTTATCTCTTTAATAATTATTTATTTATTTATTTATTTACCCAGCTCTGAAACACTAATTCTGCTAATTGCTTCTTCACGGGAAACCCTTCCAGGCTGGCTAGAATAGATTAATAGAAATCAATCCATTTAAACATCACTTTATTGTTCCAATGACATTTGTGAAAAAAATATCCTTGCTAACTCTTGGCAATGGCATAGCCTATATTGTTATTGGTAATGGATTAACCACTCAGACCAATCTTGTCCAGGTTTATAGCTGCAGAATAATGTATTTATTTTAGATTTATGTAATGTTTGACGATTTGTATAATAGAACTATATAAAGTTGGCCTATTGGCCTAAAGAAGTGATAACCCTCCCCCCCCCTCCCCGGACGCAGTTGAAAAAAATGTCACGGTTTGTTTAAAAGATAAGATAATAATGTAAACTGAGGATATTTTAAAAACCACTGGTACAATTATCATCCAAATTCAAAAGCAAAATTTGACAATTTTCAAAAGCTGATTTTCTTTTTATTCGCATGTGTTCCAGTCGTCCCCATACATAAAATGTTTACTGAAGCCCATCTTCGGTTTAGCATTGAGGGTTTTAACCTTTCGGAAAATTAAAAAAAGTGTTTGTATGTGTGGTTGCTACTATGGGCGAGAAGGGGAAGGCCAGTTCAGTTGCTTGAAAAAAATCTGAGCATCATCCTTTTATATGTTATATTTGGCAAAATTCAGATAGACCGAGATAAAACGATATAAGAAGAAGCCCCCCCCCCCAACAATGTTTTCATACATCTTTGCGCATGCGCATCAGAATCCAGTATTGCGAGTGGAGAGAGGAGAGAGAAGAAGGAGGTGGTAAACTAGGTGTTTCTGGTAAGTTGACAACGTTACGTAATGAAAAGATACAAACCAAAACCTGAAACAGACACCAGCGAAGATGTCTCTGCTGGATAGTTTCATTTTTAGTAGAAACGACGTGTAAATACCTCAGTGATAAGAAATGCAAATGGCCGCTTTTTTTATACTTACTACATGTGCCAGTGACTGACCTAATGCAGCTAATGCAGTGTGCCTCCAAACTTACGAGTCTTTGATTTTTAATGTTTTCTAAATTCAGTGAAGTTTTGTTCATCGTTTTTGCTTTTGATCAATATCTCCTATATTCGTAAAAGTTAGTTTTGTTATTTACTTTTACAAGATATACTTCAAGCCTTGATACATCTAATGTGTGCAGAAATTATCCATATGAGATTAGTTGTGATTATAATTACACACGCTTGTAAGCTGTGCAATTTTTGTAAAATAAAACTGCTTACATGCCATATAAAAATGGTTTTCAATTAATGTCACAGGCAATGTAAAAGCAGGAGATTATCACTGCAGCTGGTCCATTGCAGTTTGGTTTGTCAGACCTTGCCCAGAGATTCTTTCCAATGTAATGATGCATAATACTCCATTCACCACTTTACAGATACTTACAAAATCGCTGCGCGCTTGCGTGAGAATTGCATTGTGGGAAAAAATAGAGCAAAACAAAAACAGCGAGTATCCGAATAATGGAGAATAACCTCGACGACTCTGGTCCATGATTGTAAAATTAGCAGGAAATTACCTTTCTCGACACCTTCTATCATTTCTGCAACTTGAAACACAGCAGGTAGTCATTATTTTGTGTTCAAGAGCCTTCGCGCCATGAGTTCACGCTCTTTTTTTCCCCCCACAATGCAGTTCGAGTTTCCTGTCGACGTACAACGTTACTGTAAAGTGATGAATGGCTGTAGAAAGGAATTATAACATGTGTTGAAAGCTTTGGGTCTTTTTCACAAATGACTTAATGCAAATATTGGTTTAGCAAGAATTACAGTCAACTGTAGTTTGGATACTAAGATGTGTGTCACAAAATGTCTTGTAAAAAAGACTGCTTACCTCCAAGTTTGTAGAATGTGAATTGTGCTTGTCATAACATTTGAGTTTTACTCTCAACAGTGACAACAGTTCATTAAAGTTTGTGAACTATTATATTTGGTCAAATTTGTGTAGAATGCTCCTGGACCAATATCACAATGTCATTTTTAGGAAGTTATCTGCCAGAGTTGAGCAACTTCTAACATTTAAAAAAAACTACGGTACACGGGCATTATGAATTTAGCTTGGTGTTGTTTGTTTGCATACTTCTAGTCTGCAGCCACTGGCCTGTGTATGCATAGACAAAGACAGATCTGCAAGATACAAGATATTCCTTGTCAAATGCTGAATATAAAACTGATGTTACTTAGTAATTTAGTGCACAATGTAGAACTTAAACACTGTCAAGAGAAGGCTTGTCCTATCTCTATCCTGTCCTAAGACCCAGAATGTGTGATAGGTAATATCGTCTGAATGCAGTGTAGCAGGACTATAGCTTATTGAGGGTAAAATTTATCAACTCTGTGTTGTTTTACATTCATCCTATGTCCTCCCCTCCCAACACACATGCCCACACTGCAAACATATGTATGACTGATTCTTTGTAGTTAAATAGAAACACATTTTCTCACCCAATTGTTTGTGTTTGTGTTGTAGAGGGGTAGTAGAGATGAGCAGTGGGCAGAAGACGTGTTACAAGTGTGGCCAACCTGGTCATATCTCCAAGGAGTGTGGGAATGGCGGGGGTGGCCGTATGTTTGGTGGAGGTGGCAGAGGAAGAGGGGGGCGCTCAGGTGGTAAGTGCACAGGTGCAAGTACAGTGTGTCTTTTAATTTGACACGAATTTAAGGATAATTTCTTTTATCTTTTTAATTATCTCATTTGGCTTAAGTAACAAGAATATACCAGTGGAGGATCAGATATGTTGTGTTAGAAGAAAAATAGTTCTTCACCCATTACCTGTTGTATGAACATGTTGCTGTATGTAGTATATCTATTAATCAGTCAAAACTGGTCTTTTGGGAACAAAAAGGAAAAAAAGTAAAGATCATATTCACTTTGTTAATTCTAGGGAAATGTTTTCGCTGTAGCCGCCATGGGCATTACGCCTACGAGTGCCGAGAAACATCAGACCGCTGCTACAAATGTAACCAATTAGGACATATTGCTAAAGACTGCCCCAAAGAAATTGAGTCAGGTTGGGAATGTTTTTGTAGAAAAGAATTTTTTTAAAGTTTTTTTATGCATGTTACACATATGCAAAAATATGTTTTCATATTCTGTGAAATACTCAAAATACTAGTCGCTGTAACTTCAGTAAGTTTGTTCAGTATGTTTGTTTGAAGATTTAGATATAACCATATATTTGCAGATAATTTTATTGTTGTTTGCCTGGATCTTGTAATACCTGGATCTTCCAAATAAGTAAATCATACCACTGTACTAGTGTTTTCAATTGATTGCACACTAGTTGATTGTTTGAATTAATCCATCTTTTGGTCACATGCTTGTCAAATTCAAGATAAAAAATGATTTTTTTTTATTTTGCTTTTTTTCTGATTAAGGTGTGATTTTTAAATACATTGTTGAAACAGAAAAATGTTGCAGTGTTCAACTGCTGCTAACTACTGACTTGAAAAATGATGCCTCTATTACCATACATTTAAAGGGATAATAACGCCTTGTTTTGGCCAAAAAATGAATTTTCCTGGAGTAAACAACAATTTTCCCATACTTACCAATGGTTAATGAATCCATTTTTACATTCAAAGTTAGTTCCTGCTTTTTGTCTAAAAAGTTTGGTTTTTTGTTAAAATCTCTTAAGAGAATATAACAGAGTATAGCTATCAATGGAAGTCACGTGGTCTGAAGACAAGCTCAGATATCAGAATAATAGCTATAACTGTCGTTATGTGGTAAAACTGAATATATTATATTTGTATGAGTTATTCACAATGTTTTATTGTGAAATATAGATCTCATACGAAGAGTTATTATCCTTTTAACATAAAGGTAACAGATCACATTTTCTTTAATGTGTTATTATGTTTTTTTTCCTAATCAGTCAAATGTTTTGACTTTTACATCAGGCCCGTAGCCAGGGGGGGTTCGGGGGGTTCGAAAGAACCCCCCTTTTTTGCTGGAAAAAAGGGTCCACTCTGGGTAAAATTTGACCTAGGTGCATGGGGGTTATATGGTAAAAGGTCCACTTTTCAGAAAAGAACNAGTGATTCGTCTATTACAGTTTATGTATATTAGCTTATCATATATCTATTAGTATATAATCTTTTATCTCTTTAATAATCATTCATTTATTTATTTATTTATTTATTTATTGATTTATTTATTTACCCAGCTCTGAAACACTAATTCTGCTAATTGCTTCTTCACGGGAAACCCTTCCAGGCTGGCTAGAATAGATTAATAGAAATCAATCCATTTAACCATCACTTTATTGTTCCAATGACATTTGTGAAAAAATATCCTTGCTAACTCTTGGCAATGGCATAGCCTATATTGTTATTGGTAATGGATTAACCACTCAGACCAATCTTGTCCAGGTTTATAGCTGCAGAATAATGTATTTATTTTAGATTTATGTAATGTTTGACGATTTGTGTAATAGAACTATATAAAGTTGGCCTATTGGCCTAAAGAAGTGGATACCCCCCCCCCCCCGGACGCAGTTGAAAAAAATGTCACGGTTTGTTTAAAAGATAAGATAATAATGTAAACTGAGGATATTTTAAAAACCACTGGTACAATTATTATCCAAATTCATAAGCAAAATTTGACAATTTTCAAAAGCTGATTTTATTTTTATTCGCATGTGTTCCAGTCGTCCCCATACATAAAATGTCTACTGAAGCCCATCTTCGGTTTAGCATTGAGGGTTTTAACCTTTCGGAAAATTAAAAATGTGTTTGTGTGTGGTTGCTACTACAGGCCTAACCAACTACCAGACTCGGCACCTACGGATCCAGAATAAACCGGTATATCAGACCACACTACCCGTTTTCAAGGTGTGTGTCAGATCGCATTACAGAGTATCAGCCACCACACCGATTTTGCCTGGTGCGCGATGTGATAGCGATGATCGTAGTACTTAATAGATAGACCCGGAGTCAGCGAGGGTTAGGTGGCATACACGAGTGCGAAGCACGAGTGGATGTTACATAACCCTCGCTGAGGAGGGATCTATCTTATTTAGACCACGGGTCCATTAGCGGGTTATAACGCATTCATGCGAGACGTGCGGTTATGCGAGTTACACCACGTCTGAATCTTTTGTTCTTCACTTCCACCGTGGTCTAAAGCGGGGTTGGAAAGTAGTGCATCTCATCTAGATTCATGCGCTGCTGCAATTTTCCCTGTTTATGCTAAAAATCTGACAATACCGCAATTTTTAACATAAAATTTAGGTTCGAACATAGCCAATTATGTTTTGTAAATGATTACTTGCAAACTTATATATTCATTTAGAAAAGTAGACCTAATTTTGATAGCGGAAGCATATTCTGTCGGGGGTTAAATATTTTCTGGACGGGATTCAGTGAGTCGTCTGTCGTTATGTTGTCAGTCGGAACTACTCCGATGTCTCCGCACTCGACAATAGTATGGAGCTTGCGGAATGAGCCGAGGATTGCCGATTTCCATGTAGGCCCCTACCCGGATGACAGATAGGCTTACAAAATTTGTGATGGGGTATGATACGCTGTAATGCGATCTGACACACACCTTGAAAACGGGCAGTGTGGTCTGATATACCGGTTTATTCTGGATCCGTAGGTGCCGAGTCTGGTAGTTGGGTAGGCCTGTATTATGGGCGAGAAGGGGGAGGCCAGTTCAGTTGCTTCAAAAAAATCTGAGCATCATCCTTATATATGTTATTTTTGGCAAAATTCAGATAGACCGAGATAAAACGATATAAGAAGCCCCCCCCCCACAATGTTTTCATACATCTTTGCGCATGCGCATTAGAATCCAGTATTGCGAGTGGAGAGAGAGGAGAGAGAAGAAGGAGGTGGTAAACTAGGAGTTTCTGGTGAGTTGACAACGTTACGTAATGAAAAGATACAAACCAAAACCTGAAACAGACACCAGCGAAGATGTCTCTGCTGGATAGTTTCATTTTTAGTAGAAACGACGTGTAAATACCTCAGTGATAAGAAATGCAAATGGCCGCTTTTTTATACTTACTACATGTGCCAGTGACTGACCTAATGCAGCTAATGCAGTGTGCCTCCAAACTCGAGTCTTTGATTTTTAATGTTTTCTAAATTCAGTGAAGTTTTGTTCATTGTTTTTGCTTTTGATCAATATCTCCTATATTCGTAAAAGTTAGTTTTGTTATTTACTTTTACAAGATATACTTCAAGCCTTGATACATCTAATGTGTGCAGAAATTATCCATATGAGGTTAGTTGTGGTTATAATTACACACGCTTGTAAGCTGTGCAATTTTTGTAAAATAAAACTGCTTACATGCCATATAAAAATGGTTTTCAATTAATGTCACAGGCAATGTAAAAGCAGGAGATTATCACCGCAGCTGGTCCATTGCAGTTTGGTTTGACAGACCTTGTCTGGAGATTCTTTCCAATGCAATGATGCATAATACTCCATGGCTGTAGAAAGGAATTATAACATCTGTTGAAAGCTTTGAGTTTTTTTTCACAAATAACTTCATGCAAAAATTGGTTTAGCAAGAATTACAGTCGACTGTAGTTTGGATACTAAGATATGTGTCTCAAAATGTCTTGTAAAAAGACTGCTTACCTCCAAGTTTGTAGAATGCGAATTGTGCTTGCCATAACATTTGAGTTTTTCTTTCAACAGTGACAACAGTTCATTAAAGTTTGTGAACTATTGTATTTGGTCAAATTTATGTAGAATGCTCCTGGACCAATATCACTATGTCATTTTTAGGAAGTTATCTGCCAGAGTTGAGCAACTTCTAACATTAAAAAAAAAAAAAAAAAACTACACAGGCATTGTGAATTTAGCTTGGTGTTGTTTGTTTGCATACTTCTAGTCTGCAGCCACTGGCCTGTGTATGCATAGACAAAGACAGATCTGCAAGATACAAGATATTCCTTGTCAAATGCTGAATATAAAACTGATGTTATTTAGTGCACAATGTAGAACTTAAACACAGTCAAGAGAAGGCTTGTCCTATCTCTATCCTGTCCCGAGACCCAGAAGGTGTGGTAGGTTATATAGACTAAATGCAGTGTAGCAGGACTACAGCTCGTTGAGGGTAAAACTTATCAACTCTGTGTTGTTTTACATTCGTCTAATGTCCTCCCCTCCCATACTGCAAACATGTGTATGACTGATTCTTTGTAGTTAAATAGAAACACATTTTCTCACTCACTTGTTTGTGTTTGTGTTGTAGAGGGGTAGTAGAGATGAGCAGTGGGCAGAAGACGTGTTACAAGTGTGGCCAACCTGGTCATATCTCCAAGGAGTGTGGGAATGGCGGGGGTGGCCGTATGTTTGGTGGAGGTGGCAGAGGAAGAGGGGGGCGCTCAGGTGGTAAGTGCACAGATGCAAGTATAATGTGCCTTTTAATTTGACACGAATTTAAGGATAATTTCTTTTATCTTTTTAATTATCATATTTGGCTTAAGTAACAAGAATATACCAGTGGAGGATTAGATGTCTTGTGTTGGAAGAAAAATAGTTCTTCACCCATTACCTGTTGTATGAACATGGTGCTGTGTGTAGTATATCTATTAATCAGTCAAAACTGGACTTTTGGGAACAAAAAGGAAAAAAGTAAAGATCAGGTTCACTTTGTTAATTCTAGGGAAATGTTTTCGCTGTAGCCGCCATGGGCATTACGCCTACGAGTGCCGAGAAACATCAGACCGCTGCTACAAATGTAACCAATTAGGACATATTGCTAAAGACTGCCCCAAAGAAATTGAGTCAGGTTGGGAATGTTTTTGTAGAAAAGAATTTTTTAAAAGTTTTTATGCATGTTACACATATGCAAAAATATGTTTTCATATTCTGTGAAATACTCAAAATACTAGTCGCTGTAACTTCAGTAAGTTTGTTCAGTATGTTTGTTTGAAGATTTAGATATAACCATATATTTGCAGATAATTTTATTGTTGTTTGCTTGGATCTTGTAATACCTGGATCTTCCAAATAAGTAAATCATACCTCTGTACTAGTGTTTTCAATTGATTGCACACTAGTTGATTGTTTGAATTAATCCATCTTTTGGTCACATGCTTGTCAAATTCAAGATAAAAAATGATTTTTTTTTATTTTGCGTTTTTTCTGATTAAGGTGTGATTTTTAAATACATTGTTGAAACAGAAAAATGTTGCAGTGTTCAACTGTTGCTAACTACTGACTTGAAAAATGATGCCTCTATTACCATACGTTTAAAGGGATAATAACGTCTTGTTTTGGCCAAAAAATGAATTTTCCTGGAGTAAACAACAATTTTCCCATACTTACCAATGGTTAATGAATCCATTTTTACATTCAAAGTTAGTTCCTGCTTTTTGTCTAAAAAGTTTGGTTTTTTGTTAAAATCTCTTAAGAGAATATAACAGAGTATAGCTATCAATGGAAGTCACGTGGTCTGAAGACAAGCTCAGATATCAGAATAATAGCTATAACTGCCGTTTTTGTGGTAAAACTGAATATATTATATTTGTATGAGTTATTCACAATGTTTTATTGTGAAATATAGATCTCATACGAAGAGTTATTATCCCTTTAACATAAAGGTAACAGATCACATTTTCTTTAATGTGTTATTATGTTTTTTTTTCCTAATCAGTCAAATGTCTTGACTTTTACATCCATATTATTTTGTGTACTCTCAGGTGCCTGCTACAACTGTAACAAGAGTGGGCATATCATGCGTGACTGCCCAGAGGAGCAGGGAAATAAGAGCTGTTACCGCTGCAACAAGGAAGGGCACATTGCGCGGGACTGCCCCGAGGAAGCTGTCAAAACTTGCTATCGTTGTAACAAGGAAGGTCACCTGGCTCGCGACTGTCCGGACTCCCTGGAGTTTGGTGGTGGGAGAGAGTGTTATAATTGTGGAGAGAGTGGTCATCTGGCCCGAGACTGCCCAAATAATACAGATGGAGGTAGACGTGGTGGTGGAAGGAGAGGCGACAGAAGTAGTGAAACTTGCCACAAGTGAGATTATGTTTTTATTTGTATAGTTGTACCCTCTTTCTGGAGTAATATGATAGATTGTTATTTTTTAAAGTTTCTGCTACTTTATCCTCAGATTGCTTCCATTTTCTAATTGTCAGGCTGTATAGTTTGAGTGCTTGTAAACCAAGACCACAGTTATTGTTAATTATAATATGGTCTTAAGCCTGACCCAGCCACAAACCCACAGTTTTGCCCACTGGAAGTAAGCTCAATATTGTTGTCCTGACTGACAATACATGTTCTCTATTCTCAACAGTGTCGCTCAACACTGCTGTCGTTTCATAAAGTAATTCAAGTTGTTCAGAAATTTCTTAAAAGATTCATAAAACAAAAGACAAAGACCAAGTATGGAGCTCAAGATTGGTTCTATTGAATCATGTTATAATGACAGATGTTTTGTTAGGATATTGGGAACAAAGCAATTTATCAGTTATGTTATATTAATAGGTGTGGTGAAGCTGGTCACTATGCTAGGGACTGTCCAGAGGCCAAGAAGGATGTCCAGTGTCGCAAGTGTGATGGCTTTGGTCACTTTGCTCGTGAATGCACCGCAGAAGTGTAGATGGAGCCACAACGCCTAGGCAACTAGATGGAATTGAAACTAATGTTGGTGGAGTGATAAGATATTTAAGCTATCTGACCTTGGTATTTGTTGTTCTGTTGTTAAGAAGCTATTATACTTTTATAAGTATGGTTGATTTGCATGTTCAGTCCTTGCATAGAATGGGGTGGGTCTCATTTGCTTGTTTTTAATTTTAGAAGTATATTGTTTTTAATCCTTTTTGTGCTTGTATTCAATCACTCTTTAGATCAGTTTGTTAGAAAGAAGTAAACAATATATTGCTTATATTGTTTAACTAATATGATATCATAGTTATTTATTTGAGCAAAGATTGCTTTCATATTGCAGCTTGTCATAATTTTGTACAGAATTATTCAAATGGCACTTTTTGAATTTCACTCTTTTTGATAAAGAGGTGAAAGATACAGGTAGTAGAAAAAGTCCAGTGTATCTTCAGGGTGTTAATTGTAAAGCATAGAAAATTATTTATTTTGGAACCATTTTGTTTACCCTCAATATATACACAATATCACTAGTTATAAATGACATTTTTTCAGTGTACACTAAGGGTGGGGTTATTTGTTATATGACCACTTTCGTAGCTGTAAATATGAATGAATGTGAAGTTGATTTTTGAATCAAAATATATACTTTCCCCAGTGGCCTAGTAAGTAAAGCAGTACAGTTGGGACTTGGGATGGAAGGCAGCCTGCATCACTCCATTATATGGGGTGAAATGTTTGTTTGCACTGTTATAAGTTTACAATATGCTGTACTAATTTTGCAGTTGTGAGAAGTAAGTGGTGGGGAAAATTCTAAGGCAGCCATTTTGCATCATTTTTATTTGTAATTTTTTTTTATCAAGCCATAAAAGATAGTAACACGTGTAAATGTATTTAAAGATTTGGCACTTTGTGGGGTTGACATTTCTCATGAGCAAAAATTGATTTTCTGGAAAACATTTATGTGATTGAAAAGAGAAAATGGGAAAAAAATCTGATTGAAAAAAAATTGAATTTCAAATTATTGGTTTACATTTCTATATTGCATTGGTAAGTATAGTAACATCAAAACAGAAAAGAAAGTATTTGTTTATGAAACATTTCAACTTCACAAATTTAGCCATTAAGCTTGGAAAGCTGGTGTTTGGAGGTGGCAGTGTATAAGTAAGGTGATTTCAGGACCTTCCTCAAGGCTGCCCCATGGTATCTTCTTGATCAGGGCAAATTTTTCAAAGTTTACAAACCTTTTAATTTAAAGTGAGAGGAAGAAATAAGCATGATGGTTTGACACTTGTTAAGAATCTAAATTGTAAGAACCATGTTGAAGTTGGCATTTCTTGTGCGATTCATTGTTCACCTCATTTGCAAGACAAACCATTGAATGAAAACATAATGTCAAACATTTAAAGCCTTCTTGGGTGCAGAAAGAAACTGCCAAATTGTCTGATGCCTGAAGATTCATAGCTAACTCGATGCTTTGACATGTATGCTCAGTTGACAAGTGTAAAGATCTGTGAGCTTTTGAGAATATGACTTTGAGAAGGGGAGGATGAGGGTGTCACAAGTTTGGGGATGTTAGAGGAAGTAAAGGTAGGCATATTTTTTTGTATGAAGTTTGGTTTATATTCATAATCATAATCCTTATTTATTATATTTCATATCTTGAGAAAGAGGGCACTCCAGGATATTATGGTTTAATTATGCGAATGTTCATCACAATGCAAGTGTCTTACTTTGTCAAAATCTGATGCCCAGCAGTTCTAATAGTATGATGTTGAAGTTCCTTTTGCTTCGATGTGAAAGCAGATAAAAATCAAAGCTTTAAAATGTTTTAGAACACAGTGCGTTGCAAGATATTATAAGAACAGGTATATTCAGTTGTCAGTTTTTTTAGTTCTGCTGTATGCCCCAATAGGTAAACTTTAAATAGGTTTAAAATTACTGTACTTATTGGAAGCTGTTTGTTTTGAACTTTTATCATATTCTGCGAAGAGATGAGAGGCATGGTTTTTAACATTCAGATTCATGTTTTAAATTAAGTACTTCATTTAACAACAGCACTTGTTTTCAAGACGTGTATAAAATTTGCAACATTCTATAAGTTTTATGTATATTTATGAATCATTCACACTTGCTGTGCCTCATTACAAATTTGGCATATTTGCAGTTTTCAAACTTGGCCAAAGATGGCATTTGGTTAATCAGGTGTGAAGTGTATTATATTATTTAGAATGCTTAAGGAACAGGTTCAAGGCAGATAGACACTGCTGCACAGTGGACACAAATGTCTGGTGATTTTTTTTTTTTTTTTTTTTTGACATTTTTAACAATTATTTTGATACTATTCTGAATGCAACTTGTAACACTTTTAGTAGATGTGGTTTTATTGTAATGCCAGTCTGTGGGCTACTGGTGTTCTTGGTTTGGTTGAAGACAAAGGACGTAGAGGTGCCTGTCTGTTGGTGTAGTTTTCAGAGGCTGGGGGGGGGGGGGGGGGGGGGGGGCTTGGAGGGGTGGTGGGGGATTTGTAAGTCTTTGAACCAATATTGTGTGTGTAATTATGTTACCATTCTTTTTGTAAACCTGTCTCATTCATGCTCCAGTTTCTACCAAAATTAGTGGGCAACTGGTAAAATGAAGATAAGATTGTATAGAAATGTGGAATTGTGCAACTCATTTTGCTTGGAGCTTTTGTGTGGTACATGTCATCAAAGAATTGTCACTTTCAAAGAACAGAAAATTACTTCATAGTCTGTTGTAAATGGTCTGAAAATGGTGGAAAAAGGTATTTTACCCCATGAAAAATAATTTTCAGTTCATTTCTTTAAGACTCATTCATAGGCAGCCAAAAGTGTAAGGTGGATAAAGAGACTGAATATGGCCAATTTAAAAACTTAAAAATTTTATTTAAGTTTATAAAATGGCAGTAATTTATTATTAATACAAGAATTGGAATTTTAAAATTCTCTTTGAAGTAGTCACCTGGAGAGGTGCTGAACAGCAATTGGGCTCTTCTTGCTAGATGTTGTCCCTCTGGTGTCCAGCATGTCAGCAGGATGAGGACAATATTGATCGGAAATGGTGATTTTTATAACAATAAATTTTTTACAAATATTTTTGTCTTGTTATTTATTCCAGTGACACAACATGAAGATCCATTTGGCATTTTAATTCTTATTAATCAAAAATTCAAACAATTTCTCTGAATTATATTTCCAAGTAATGTGGATGATAAAATTCTTTATAAATGTGGAATTAATCGCACTTAAAAACCCACTTATGTTAAAATTGCATTAAAAGAATAAACCAATTCTGTCCGCAAATTACTTCACTTATGTAAGTGGTAGTAAATTCAATTTTACCTTACATGGATCTATTACTTAACTAACAATGTCTTGGTCATATGAGATGATCACAGATGGAAACACCTCTATGTCTGCCATCTCAACTTAAGGGATTTATAGCAGTTAACATAATACTTTCAAAAAATCAATCAGTAAGTTGAAGACATTCAGTGTCTCTCCTCACAGACATGCGTCTTATTCTTTGCCATACGCTTCCATGAGGGTGGAGGTATCAGGTTTGCCTTTATAACAGATTTGTATGTCCATAAGTGATTATTATGCTCAAGGCCACATTTATATTCATCTACAATATATAGCATTCCAGGACGTCCTCTGTTCTGTTACAAGGTGTCATTTTGCTGAAGGCATTGCTGATCCAGCGCCTATCCATTCTTAGATTTTTGTGTGAAACTAATGCTGGCGAATTTCACTGCATTTTAACGAGTACGTTTTTCCTTTCCTTAATGTCTCGTTCCCACTGTTTTCTGGTCATTGTGTATATTCGCATGGCAGCTTGAGCATCCTGAACCTGAAATACAAACTCATTCCTTGAAATTTCTAACATAAAGCAATCTTATAATTAAGTAACATCAAACCAGCTCTTTAAAGTTTAAAATTATAATGAAAATATATTGTATTCCCAGTGGATTCTTAAGGTTGACTGCGCACTGAAGCACAGTCCAGGCTGAACTACAACATTACTCCTTACCGAATTGTGTTCCCCTTCTTGCACTTTGACACCTAACAGCTTGTCGGTCAGCTTCTTAAGAGAGGGTGTCTTCCCATTAAAGAGTTTTCTGAAGGGTTTGTACCTGGAGGTGTCCCTGATTTGCTTCTTAGGATGATCTAAGTAGAGCACCTGAAGTAAGAGAACAAAGTTAACTACTACATCTGGATAGGTTCAATGTCTTATCAACTTAATAATACTAGTGTACAATTACCGTGATTTATATTTAAGGTGTGATCATTTTCATGCTTATTAACATAAAGCTGCACAAGCTTTACAACAAGACAAAAGGTTAGACAGGGGCGTAACCAGACCTTTAAAAATTGTACGCACAGATTTTTAAAATTCCCAGCAAAATGTAGACTAACGCAAGAGATGAAGGACAGCGTAATTACAGCATATGTACCACACATCGCAGCTTAATTTCCATTAATAATAAAATCATCATTTAGTCAGAAATATTCTCGCAATTAAAAAAGTTTCAATATTCTTATTACCCAGAACGGTATATTTATTTAAAAGGAGGCTAGCTTCACATATGTGGAACCCCCTTCGAAAAATCCTGGATCCACCTCTGAGTTGAACTAACATACGGTTTCATTCACCTTATATGTGGATGCATGGCTCCCAAGAACAACCAATTGTACGACACGACAGAGCTCTGATATATCTAAGTTTAATTATTTGTTTGTAAAAAATGCCCATGTCACCATGTTAGTTTGGAAGGGTAAGCTTGGTTAAGTCCGTGTCAAAATTCTTTGAAGCTTTGCAGGAAAATTCTTCCTTTGTTTCTCTAGCTCCTTCTTAAACCTGTTGTCCAGATTTTATCTAGTGCCCCCAGGGTTGCGGGAGCTGCTCTTTGAAAATAACACTCAGGCAGATTTTTACCTGAGATAAATATTGCCAACGAGCATGCGTTCGTTATTCTCAAGAAAGAGGGTAAAGAAGAGTTGAGGGCCACTGAACCCTCCAATATTAACAGGTAAAGGAAGTTCCAGTTAGATGGACGATTAAGATAGGACTCGTTAAGGTTACAGGCATTGTTTACCTCAGTTTGCAAGACGGGGGGAGGGGGGGGTCAGAACAATTGTGCCTATACAGTTGATACAGAGGATATGTGCATACAGGTGACTTTAATAAGCAGAGGATTTTCTTTTATATTCCGTGAAAAATACACTAAATTTATATAAAATAAAACCATGGTTGGCCAAAAAATTGTACGCACAGTGCATCCGTGCGTATGCCTAGTTACGCCCATGTTAGACATTACTTAATGACTGATTATCAACCTGGTACAATTTATAATTGTGAGTAATTCATTTTTTAAAAAACTGAGTACTTGAACATCACCAGTATTACACATGTTATAGGTACTTTGCATGGTGATATTGCAGTTGTTGTAAGTTACCTTGAAATCATTCATAATGGCATGGCCAACTACCACTCGACCTTTGAGGATTTTGCCAACATCTTCTTGAACTGATTTAAAATCTTCTCCTGAAATAGAAAGAACAACTTTTCAAGAGGAAATAAATTTTAAAGGTTGACAGATCAGATGGTGAATTAAATCATAGATGCGATTTTTCTGGGATTTTTTTTCCTTGGGGGGGGGGGGGGATTTCCATTTTTTTTAAACTTCATTTTCTTAAATATCTTTTTTTTAACTTCATTTTTTAACTTATCTGGGATAATAGCTCAACATTTTCAATTTTCAGCCCCCCGCCCCCCCCCTCACACACAAACACACACACACACACACACACACACACACAAAGCACATCCCTGTTAAATTGAAATAATTAACACAGGTCTTAAAAAAAAGCATCTTTAAAAACAAGACATGGACCTGTAAGTATGAATACACATCCACAAACGTAATCACAAACAATTACCCTGCTGAAGTAAATCTTCCTTCCTGATCCCGCTG